TTTGCAAGATTGACGGCAATCTGGGCTTACTCTGAAATCCACGCGGTTTGGACTGCAAATGCACTGGGACTGGGCAGTGATGCAATCATCGCGTGAGGCGGTATCGAACTGGTGTCAGTGCGATTTGAATGACTGGTCTATTGCGTTGGAAACGTGCTGACAGGCATCACTTGCAACTGGCCCTGTGGCATGGCGGCTGCCAGCAATGGGCTCGACCTCGCATGCCAGTTAAGCTTTGTTTCTTGAATTGTGCAGTGCTCATAAAGTCCGGCAACAGGGTTCCCAGGAGAGCCTACAGGGGCCATGTTACCCAAAAACAGACGAAGAGCATCGCAGAACGCTGGCAGCGCTGTGAGGTATGTCGTCACCAGTAGTCCCACAGTCGAATTTGCTCCGAGTTTTCTCCAGGGGAAAGCCATAACAACACTGAGTGCACGACACTGGAATTGGCCGTGAGAGAGTTTTAGCCACTTGTCACATTTGGGAGAATGTGGAAGATCTTCATTTCATCGTTCACTCGTAGCGTTCCCTTTGTAGAGGCTATGCCAATTGCTTTTTGTGTTAAGTCGTCCGATAAGGTGTTTACATAGGATGTGCCTACAACAGGACGTTCTGTCGTCAAGTTCCTGTACAGTATCATCGTAAGTAATGACGACATGATATGAATGGAATTAATTTAGGTCATCCGAGGTTAACAAGCGTTCAGGTGGGGACAATTTGGCTGCTTAAAGGTTTTTCCAAAATCATTTCTTAGCGACGTGGTACAGCCGCGTCAAACTTTGCATTGCTGTACGCAGTTTAATTGCGGATATTTCGGTATGTAAGGTTGCTGACCTATGGCAGGTTAAAATCAGGCCGTGGCTATCGGCGAAAGTCATTTCTGGAGAATAGTTCAATCTGATGCGACGACAGAGTGTTTGACGAAGGCATGCATCTCTGAAATAGTTTCTTAAGCAATAAAACAATTAGATTTAGAACTATAATGAACTATTTTGACCTATGGTTCTGGCCATCTCGCCCTCATTTCAAATTGATTATTAACAGGGGCCTCTACAGACATGTTCCGTGGATTTCCTAGAGATCAGAGTTGGTCACCCCAAAATGGCCCAGGTCTACATTTTAAGGAGCATGACGCCTAGCATAATGCCTAAAAAAAATAAATTCCAAAATAGAAGCAAGCTCTGACCTTTGAAATGTAAAGAAGTTACTGTCTTTAAATGAAAGAGACTGACAGTTTTCTTAGAACAGGTATCGAGGTTCAGTGCCGCTGCATAAGAAGATCTGAGAGCACATTGTACACCAATGTGGAGTTTGGCCTTATGTGACCTTAGCTGACCCAAACATCGTGACCTAGAAACCTCATATTTTGACACAAGGGAGTGCACATCGGTCCTATTCACCCAGTGAGTGTAGTGTCGCCAGCTCGCCTAATTTGTTAGATGTGATTGACTTTAAATTGACCTCCCATCCGTGCAAAGGATAATCAACTGTCCACCCGTACGCGTGCGCCAAGTCAAGTGCGCCATTTTCATATATATATATATATATATATATATATATATATATATATATATATATATTCGCAGGAACGGTTCTTTGTGTGTTATTGCTTCCTTTGACGTATTTCAAGTGATATCGAACGACCTTTAATGCAGCGATTCATGATAGTGAACGCCTCTAGGTATAGATTCCGGAATCATTAGCCAATAACACATGCCAAGAAGAAAAGCTTTTCATGCCAAGTGTTCTCATTGCTGGTGATTTAAGTTTGCTTACCATGTGCTATCCAGGATTGCTCCATGCTCCTTTGTTCTCTTTCATCAGTTCGAGATGTGAGATCGTGCTGTGCAAGCACAGTTTGACCCGTCGACCTAATTTGACAGTGACGGACTAACGTCCGTGTATTTTGCGTGCACCAAGCGATATACAACGCCATCTTCCCATGCAAAACATACACTGCTACAAACATAAAACAGCCATGAATGCACCAATTTTCTCCCGCTGACCTAGTTTGAACAGCCACATTACGTGCCACGTGATCTAACGCTGAATAACTAACGGTTGCGGTTAAGGTCAGCTGACACCCCTCTTTGTTTGGTTCTGGCCTTTCCGTTTTCTAGATGGTGAAGGTGATCTGTGAGCCTCACTCGTCCGACAGAGGTGACAACAGCGCTCGCCCGATGGGAGCGGAAGCAGGCCGTAAAAGTAGCGGGCCTGACGCGTGTGCTTATTTCCCTCCAGATATAGATTGTGAAGCATTGGTTGACAGCACACGTCAAGGAAAGATTTTCGTGCTGGGTTTGTCCATTGCGGCGCGCTTTAGCACGCGCCGGGGTGGCCGTTGGGATAGCCTTCGCTCGGGTGGGGTCATTTTGTGACTAAGACCCTGTGAGACCCATCAGACCCAGACCTAGACCCATCACCCTGTGAGATCTCGGGAACTAAGAAAACTAGAGACACGACATTTTCAGAGTGTGTTGGCCTGTACGTGTACTCACTTAGGTCAAAGTTTGAGGTTCCTGGGTCATGAATTTCGGATCAAATAAGGTCAAACAAGGTCAAATTCCAGACTGGTCTTTAAAGTGCCCCCTCCCCGAGCCAAGATACCTGTTTTAAGCAAAAGGTCATATGCTCATCTAAGGTAAAAGGCCTTGATTCACCTTCGGAGGCCATGGTGACCAAAATGGTACTAGATTGTTTTGAGTTTTGCCTTTGAATAAGCGACAAGGATTACGCCAGGCGGTATGTTCCTAAAAAATGCTTACCTGGCTCATTTTAGGTCAGCGACCTATTCTAATCCTTGATAAGTCAATAGAATATGTATGATGCAGTTCCTGTTATCGATAAATTCGAATGAGCACCAGAAGCCATCACATACAGCGAGCCCTAAGATAGTAAAGTAGGTTGGTTTGGACCTGGTTCTGATCTTCATACCTGACACCAGATGAATGCAATTTGTTCATTCAATTGTTGTGTTGCCTAAGCAAGTATTTCAGATGTCTATGGCTTCGTTTAACACTCAGTTGTTGCATCATATTGAACGATCTCTAGAGACTGACTTTGCTGAATCCATGGCCTGACTAACGTGCCGTAGGTTGCGACCTTTTAAGATACATCTCAATTTTTGATACAAAACGATGCACTATTCAGTTGTCTACGCCGTTCAAAATTCAGCGCGGCCGCTCCGCGCCGTTCGGAAACCAATGCGGAAAAACCGTCGGGGGGGGGGGGGGGTCAAATTGACCCCGACCCGAGCGCATGTTAGAGGTGCGTTGATTCGCAGTTTCTTGGATTATTATGAACTGTGCTCAGGATGGCTGCTCATGATAAACATATAACCAGTAAACCTCAGAATGAATAACTAACTCCAGATAGATAGCTGATAGCCCATCAGGATGGCTGGAGCTGTTGCTCCATTACTTAAGACCACATTAGTCAAAGATGAGCACAAGCCTGCAACAAATCGCTTCATCTCACGGCGTGTCGCACTTAGTACACCGACCTCGTCCGGCCTGCTCGCCGGCGCCGCAGACCTAACCACATTTGGTGCCGAAGAGAAGACTGGTCCCATGTCGCTGAGAGACAAAACAGGCTTGAGAACCACTCTGCAGGCGGCCGCTCAGGTTCAAGTGAAGCTCGAGCCAGCTTCCCTCATCGTGCACATTGCGCCACGATTGTCACCGCCATCGCCGCTCTTGTGACCAACTCGCATAATGTGCGGAACGCAAACACCCGCGCTTTTCCGACGAATAGCAACCCATGTCTGACGGATGCACCGCCGTCTGACGTCATTTTCTGAGCAGCCTGGACGCCACCAGCGCCCCTGGCGGACAGACCAGTGCGTGGGCCGCCTGTTGTGGGCGGCCAGCGGTGCAGCCAGCCGGCATCGCCTTTTACGGATGACGGTGTGACGTCACTGACGCGGGCGGTGGGCGGGGATCAGCTGGTCCCTGGCCGGTTGATGCAGCTGACTTCGGTCTGATGACGTCAGCTGCAGGGGCCGCTCTGTCGGCCGATCCGGTCTGTTCCAGAATGACAGGGACGGGTGACAGGTGTGCGCTTTCACGCCTGCCTGCGCGGCACTGGTGCGCCGCGATTTAAATCGACCCATATATGGTTGGACTGTGCAGTCTCCGACTCGGTGATACGGCCTTTAATGTTGTGTGGGTGGAGGTGTTGTTGATATTACTGTTTGCCAATGGCTCAGTGCCGCGAGTCTATTTCGGCTGCTGCAGTCACTATTCTTTAGTGGTATCATTGAAAACAGAGGCCTGCTTCGTGCTGTGGGTACGCGCCCAAAATCAGGCTGCCTCCTAGTTCGCGTTGCATTCCCTGGCATAATTCCAGTCCGATCCTTGGTTCTCGCTGGATCCGTCGGCGTAAGTCTGGGCTGACTTCCAGTTCCTGTTGGATCCTTCATCGTACTTCGGTGTTGCATTTAAGCGTATGCTGGATCTTTCTGCATAATTCCAGGTGGATCCTGGATCCTGTCTGGTTTATGAACCGGCAACAGGTCCCTGGGAAGAGTCTTGGGGGGAAGGGCGGGCAATGTGTTAGCACAACTTATCACTAACCACTTAAAAGTCACGTCTTACATAAGACTATTGCTCAACTCTCGCCGCAGAGCTGTCTGACTCCCAGCGTGGCATGGGCCGTCCTCTGTGTATTCCCTCGTATAGCAACTTTGCACATCAATCACCTGCCGTGCCGCGAAAGGCCCGACTCGTGCCGGTTGGCAGCACAGCCTGGCCCTTCCCCTGCCTTATATGCGCAAGCGAGTGGGAGCCAGCCGGTTCTAGACGGGCCTCCATCCCATGCGGCGCTGGTAACAGGTGCAGGTCCGGACCGCGTGAGTCACGGCGTCCGCTGGGGCCACACCTGGGGCCTGATCCGACACCGCTGGACCAGGCCAGGTCGCCAGCGTGTCACCAGTGCCGCTCGTGGCGCCTCTCGGTGAAACTGCGCCATCGCGCCGCCGCCAACCCGCCAGCCTAACCCCAAATGGCGTTTTCGCAGGTCGCACCGCCGGCGGGTGGGCGGCGCTTGGTTGTGACGTCACCGAGGCGCGACCGGCCGGCAGCTCGGAGGCCGGCGCTTTCATAACACGAGCCGGCGCGCCGGACGCGACCAGCAGAGCGGACGCGCCGCCGATCCGCCCGCGAGAGGAGGGATCTCTGTGGCAAGTGTGAACGGTGGTGGACGGCGTCGACGCGCAGCGAGTGCCGCCGTGTTGGTGCGAGTGTCCGTGCGACAACATGGGAGGGAAGCGGGTGCTCCGCAGCGGTAAGTGGGTGAAGGAGGAGAAGAAAGTCTCCGAAGAGAAAAAGGTGGAGAAATTCGAGGTGCAGGAGAAAACCACCTCGAAAGTCTCCGGCAAATATGTGAAATCCGTCACCGGCAAGGAAGCCAGAGCCGTGAAGGGCACGGAGAAGAAGGCCATCAAGGGAAAGGAAAGTAAGGATGCACCAAAGCGGAAGGAATCCGCGGGTGCCACGAACGTTGAAGGCGCCGGTGCCGGTCCGCTGGTGTCGACGACAGATACCTCCAACGTCGACGAGTTAAGGGCCTCGTCGGCGCAGGAGGTCAGTACGTCGCATCGGGCCGCTTCGGAAGTCCAAACGTCGTCGCAAGTCCTGGAGGCCTCGTCTGTTAGCTCGACGCAGCTATCTCAGGAGGCTGTGTCCTCCTCGCAGGTGATGGAACAGTCTTCTTCCTCGTCCCAGGTGATGGAACAGTCCTCCTCCTCATCCCAGGTGATGGAGTCAGTGTCCTCAGCCCAGACGATGGAACAGTCCATGTCCTCATCGCAGATGTTGGAGCAGTCTGTGTCATCATCAAAGGCTCTTCAACAGTCCTCGTCCCAGCAGGTGATGGAGAAGGCCCTGTCGAGCTCGCAGCAAATGACGGAACAGTCTGCCTCCTCCCAGAAAATCATGGAGCAATCGTCACAACAGTCGCTGGCACAATCCATGTCTACAAGCCAGCACGTCATGGAGAGTTCCCTGTCATCAAAAGAGCACCGAATGGAGCAGTCCTCCTCCCAGCTGGCGGAGTCCCAGCGGCTGGAGCAGTCCTCCAGCCAGGTAGTGGATGCGTCCAGCAGCGTGCAGCAGTCGTCGCGCTCGACATCGGCCAGCGTCCAGCAGTCGTCCTCCACCAGCAGTGTGCAACGTGACATCCAGCAGTCGCTGACGCACGTCAGCGAGCACATCCAGCAGGAGCTGGATGCGACGCGCCAGCAAGGCTCGACGGACGGCGCGCTGGTCCAGGTGACCGAGCGGGCCCGACACGTGCAGGATAAGGGTGCCAAGAAGCCGACCGGGAAGGGCGGCCGACTGGGCCGGCCGAGCACGGCCGAGGGAGGCGGCAAGAACGCTAAGTGTATCTGCGAAATCTGCGAGTGCGGGTGAGTACGCGCCGGTGATCCGTGAACTCACGTTTGTTTGGGCTCATCTAGGGAGGGGTGCAAGCCATTCGCACGTACTGTCCCCCTCTCTGATGGCCTGCCGCCACCCGTGACAAAGTCTGTCCAGCAGACTGCCGATGAAGACCCTAATTTCGCAGCGAAAGTAACTGTTGCAGCGCAACTGTGGTCTCTGTCGGTCCCTACTGTATCAGGCAGGCTGCTCAGTGTCGCCATCCGCCCTCACCACAACACAGTTGTCCTCCTGCATCATAATCAACGGCTGCTGCAGCACATTGACTGCTCTGCATCCCAGTCAGCCCCGACTGTTTAGCGCAGCGGCCGACTCATGTCAGCCCCACTGTTTGGAGGCGTCTGTCTGTGCAGCGGTGATAGAGCTCACTCAGTGGGCCCCACGCCTGCTTCCGTCGTTTCCCCCGATTGCCCGTCTCTGCGACGGACCTCTCCATCCCCTGCCTCGGTCCTCCGCCGGCAGCCGGGGCCTGACGCCAGAGACGCCGGCGCCGGCGCCGTCTGCTGATTGAAACATTGCGCTGCCGGAGGTCGGAGCGTGAAAAACACGCTCCCGATGCCGGTCACGCAAGTGTCTGCGTGGGGTTGTTTGGAGGGCCGGCTCGTAAATGTCTGGTCCGCGTCGAGCAGCCACCTGCGCGTGCAATGCGATCGATTCTGCGGCGCCTGCGGCTGCTGATGCCGCCGCAGAAACAGCGGGAACTGGGTGACGCTCCCGCCACCGGTCGGATAAAGTGGGGCGTGGCGCGTGGGCGGACGCCGCACGCTCGCCGCAGCGCAGCGGACGGAGGCGTTGCCGCCTTCGCGGCCGACGCTCGCTTCACGCGGAGTGGTGCTCAAACAGGCCGTGTACCCGTGTGACTCAGACACAGCATCTGGCTCCGTGGCCGCGGAGAGTGCACGGGTAATTGGGCGCGCCGGCGAGGCGGTGCGGACGTCAGGGCTGTCGGTTGGTGTTTGTGCCGTGTGTTCCGCTGCACTCGCCGGCCGCCGACCGTCTGCGTTCCGAGCGAGAGAGGGGATGGAGAAGCGGCGAGAGTGAGGGAGAGGGAGGACCAGAGGAAAACTGAGCGATGGCAGGAGCAGGGTTACAGGAGTAGATGTGAGGATAGCAGAGCTGAGTGACGAATAGAATGGAAAATGAGAGGGAGAGAGAGATCAGGATATGGGTGCGAGGGGAAATGGAGAGAGCTACAGCCCGATTTAGATTCAGAGTACGGTTTGGAGCCAAAGCTAGGGGGTCAACAGGGAGATGAAGCTTAGGGGAACGGGGGGGGGGAAGGAAATGGGGGACGAATGCATCCTCGCGAGTAGCGGACGGAGGACCTCATCCAGAATGAGCTGTTACCAACGCCCGTGAAACGACCGGCCGCGGCCTCGCACGCATCCACCGTGACCGGAGCATTGCATGCCCGGCGCATTACCATGCACAAAATGGCCGGCGGCCCGGGGCGGTTCCGGGAGCAGTGTGACGTCGTCGACGAGGCGAAGAGCCTGCACCGCGCGTGCCGAGGCTCCTCGGTCGACATAAAGTTACGTCATGGGTGGGCGGCGGGGCGCCGGGGCCCTGCAGCTGGCTCCGCTCACAGTGCGGGCCGACGACGGCTGCTGATGTGCTGGAGGACAGCGCCGCTCGCCGGCCGCCGCCGGCGGGGCGGCCGGTACGTTTGATCTCCTCGGGTCGGATCAGGCAGTGTGCGATGTCCGCCTCTGACGGGATGTCTGGGGACGTGACGTCAGAGTTGCAGGCCGCGACCACTGGCGGTAGTGGGGATGACCATGTGCTTCCTGCCTTTGTGCCCACCGCTCGATGTTTGAGAATATTTCTCACATGGGGGGAAAGAGAGGGACGGAACATCGGCCTGGGCTTATCTCAGTAAAGTCATTACCGGCAGGGATAATAGAGGCGACCTAATTATCCAGAGTATTGCCAAAAAACGCTTAAACGTCCAAAGGCTTTAAACATTGCGCGGTAGTGAAATGCCTAATAGCATGTGGATGAGACCCATACTCAACTCTTGGAATGTCGTCCATTCAACGTTTCCCAGTGTTTTTGCTACATGACTACAAGATGCAGTAGGCATTCGGCATCTCGTACTGAAAACATCGTATAATAATGAGCGCTTGGCCATTGACCAGTGGACGTCTTCTGTGTCGCCTCGCTCCGCCCCTCCTCAGCGAGCTCCTGTTGCGCCGTCCCTCACGTCACTGAAAAATTCTGTCCACGTTCGTCCGGCCGGACCCGGCGGCCGTTTTCGCTTTCTGGGCGCCCAGGCCGGGGCGAGGTGGGTCGAGCCTGGCCTACATCGTCCGAGCGGCGACACAGGGCGGCCGTCAAGCGGCACAGGGTGGCCGCCGCTGGCCTGACCTCGGCCGGCCGACCCAGCACCGGCCGAGGCACGCGCCCACGCGGCCGCTGGGCGCGGGCCGTTCAGAGGACGGAAACAGTGCCGGGTGGCGGCTGCCAGGGCGTGGAATGTGCTGGCTCGAAACACAGCCGGACGCGGCCACCACAGTGTACCCGTGGCGGCCACTGTCGGGCATGTCCGGCTCGCGCAGCACACAGCCGTGATCGGGCGGACGTCCTGGAGCATTGGCGCCGGGTGCTGTCATGGTGATGACGCCGCACGCTGACGCCGGCGTACAGCGCACCGGATCAAGGACAGCTGTTTGCATAGGCTACGCCACCTGTGTTGCTCGCCACTGCCTTCTCGATGCCGGCTGGAAGAGGTGTGCCAGGATATTAGGGGGAGCTGGCTTCGCCACACCTCAATTACCAGCCACCGTTCGACATGGCGCATGGCTGATGTCTCACGACTCCGAGTGCTGAGGAGGTCCCTCCGGTCAGGTCAGGCACTTGCCGCTCGTCACGAAGCCGTCGCCACCAGCAGGAGCGCTTGTTTGCGCGTGTTTAGCTTCCGTGCCGCCGTTTCTGCGTGCGCGGTGTCACGGCGGCACATGACAGATGGCGGTCACAACACATGGCGCTACTGTGCCGGCCCGACCCAGCATCCGGTGCGTGCGTGTGTTGTTACGGGGCTCATTTATTCCGACACGCGGCCGGCGGCCTGGCACAGTGCGGCCCGCGGCAGCGCTCGAGTCCGCCGGCCGGCAGCAGGCGGTGCGTCGCCATGTCGCGCTGGGAGGTCCGCCCAAGGTCGCGACCCTGGGGCCGTGTCGGAGCTCTGCACCGGCGCGCCGGGCCCGACCAACCTCAAGATGTGGTGTTTTGTGCCGCGCGGCGCGGGCGGGGTGAGGACGGTGGTGCAGAAGTTCAGGTAAGAACTGTCCCAGTCCGTGTCCCCGCGCGGGCCTGGGATCCGGCGCTCCCGCGATGGGAGGGGATGGTGGTGGTGGTGGTGTCTGTGGTAGGGACTGCGTCAGCGGGACGTCCGCCGCGCAGCCGTGATTACGTCACTGGAACTCTGCGTGAGCCGGATAATGACACACCGCGGCTGCGCGCCGGTGCGGCCGCGCGCCGGTGCCAGTCCAGCCGGAGATGTTTATTTTGCCAGGCGCCGCAGATGCGGCGGGTGATGCACCGGGCCGGCTCGCCACTGGTAGGACTCCCCGCTCCCGGGAGACCCGGAGTGACGGCGCCAGCGTCGCCAGAGCGGCTGGCAGCGCTGTGATGCAGTAGTGCCGCCAGCCCGGCCGGTGAATGGTGGGCGGCACGGGCGGCGGCGCGTGCGGTCTGCACGCCCGCAGGTCGGCCTCGAACGTGACTCAGAGCGCGCTGGCCTCCGCTCTCCCTCCTCCGCCGGCCGCGGCCGGGCGACCCCGGCCCATGTAAGGCAGCGCCGGCCGGCGGATGGCAGCGATACTGCCATTGGTGGCTGGGCGGCGGCGCCGCTCGGTCGGCCTCGTCACGGCACGGCCTGACCAAACAAAAACCGCCCGAGTGGGCGGCGGCGCCGGGTGTGGCGGCGCGGAAGGGGCGGGGGCGGGGGTGGCGCGGGGGCGGCGCAGGGTGGTCCGGCCCACCCAGCTGATGGGAGTTCGGCATGCACAGTAAATGCACACATCCTGAAGTGAACAGGAATATCAATGAATAATCTTATACATGGCATCCAGAGTTTTTGGGACTTACGCCCATCATGCTATGCACCTACATGCCTGGAACTGCTGATGTTCTCACGCGACATGCACCGTCCTTGACTTGCGTCACTAAGCTGCAATCGCTTGCAGTATTCCGCGCTCCTCTGTCCTCTCATTTTCACGCCTCATCGGCTAGACGGTAAACAGATTTTACAAGCATGATGGGTTCACCCCGTGCCCTCGAGTCCTCCCCGAGCGTCCCAGCAAGCTGCCGGCGTGGTTCTTTGCTCATCGACGCAATGTTCCACGTGACCCTGCATTGTCTTCGAGCCGTGACACAACGCTTCTTCTCTTGCAGCCGCCACCGATGCCCGCACACAATCGGCAACACCCACACGTCCCACGTGCAGGAATGTCTGGAAACCAGCAGTTCCAGCTCCGTCCACCAGGCGGCGCAGTTCACCACCACTGCCAGGTACGGGCCGCTGCTCGGCGCGGAGAGGATCACAGCACGGCCGAACTGACTCCAGTCGTCGCACGCCCGGAGCACGGCTGCCTAGTCGGCCCAAATACGTAACCTGGCGGCTTGGCGCGCCTCATGTGCAAAAATGTATTCGCGTAGTATGGCAGGCATTAGGGAATGAAACAAATGTCCCCGCAGCACCGCGAGACATCCACCCACCCGCACCCGATGTACATCACCACTCCCCACCCGCCCTGCAGATGCTTTCATTCTCTTAACTCTATCAATTTCCTCGATTCTCCTGATCGCTGGTAATAACATTTCCGCCCCGTGTGCCGCTATCCCCACTGTGGGTGTAGGTGTCACCACGTGGGTGGCACAGTAGACATCGCCAGTTTGGGTGCAGGTGTCACCACGTGGGTGGCACAGTAGACATCGCCAGTTTGCGGATATGACAAAACGCTCGCGCCGACCGTCGGGCGTAAGGTCGATTAGCAGCACATGCCATTACTAACCCAGCTCTCATGAAACTGTTTCGAACGGAGCGCTTGGTAATAGTCACTGGCAAAATCTGCACCGTTATGAAGGAATGGATACGGTACACAGCAGTGGCGCGCAGGTGGGAGCTATTCCAGCACAAGCTGGCTGACGGACACAGGAGATTGGTAGATCGAATGTAGCGATTGCATAGATATAGCGTCGCCTCGTACTGACCTGCCCCTGATTGATTCTAGGTTATCATGTTTACGGGGACGTTGGTATCGTGATAAGGGCTTGCAAATGATCCGGTCGGGTTGTGTCGGGCTGGGCTTGCGGATCCGCCTGAAGCGGAGCCGACGGAAGGGCGGGCAATAAGTACCCACTTGGATGCTCGAGGGGTGCGGTGCTTCTCGCTCTTGAGAGTAATTTGGCCGTGCACCTAAAACGGTTGTAGGTGCTTATCGGAAAAATCTCAACCATCCGCACCATGGCGCATACTTACATCCCACCAGACAATGGGGTAGTCGTGCTCTCGAGAGAAATCAGGAGAAATAAGAAAGGTATATAATAAATCAGAACAAATAATGATTGATCAGAGAGTAATCAGGCTACGCATATCTTGGCATCGTTCGTATGATAAGTTTCAATTATTTTCAGCGTAACCTAACCGTCTGCACACGTATATTCCATCATCAGTTTTGCGACCAGACCTGCGTTTATTTGACATGTGTTGAGTTGTTGCACAACTACGTTCGCTATGACAGGCTTGTGGTAACGCTGTACATACGTCGCATTGCCACCTCTATGGATTAGCATAACAACGTTCAGGTGCATGTGCGTATCCAACAGCCATGATCATGCTGCGAGTCGCTGCACAAATATGCATTAACGCCGGTGAAGACGCCCGGGCGATTCCACGGACTCGTGTTATCCGCCGTTGTACATATGTGTGAATATGTGCCGACAGGGAGGCGTACACAGCCAAGACGGCCGAGATGACCTCCCGCGAACAGCTGATTAGGTATGGTGTCGATAACGGCATCACTTGGCGGGGAGGGGAGGGGCGGGGACTGGGCGGGCGGGGTAAAGCGCGGAGTGAAGCTTTGTGAGGTAAAATCGGTATAATGTCAGGAGTTGTTTTTCTGTCTACGGTAGGATGATTCGCTCTGAAACTGCTTTCGCAACTGCGCATTTGATATCTTCATGCCAGGCCGCTGCCACGACTTGCAGTGTTATCAAGAGTATCGCTAGACTGCAAATAAAGGTTATCGCGTTGGGTGCGTTGCAAGTCGAGAGCCTGTCCTGGGCTGTAAATGCGGCTGGGGGCCGCTGACAGGTGTCAGTAACCGAGGTAACTTTACATGTGTTTTCTGTAAGTACACGACCAAAGTATTTAGAATTAACTATGTGCACTGTTGGTAATACCTTAACGGTTAAGATATATACAAGCATGTAGCATTTCCACACGTGTTCGGCTCCAGTGTCAGAAGGTTCGCATACATTCTTGAGCGCCCCGGAGCCGTTACCTCAAAGCCGTTTGCGACCATTATTTCGCATGCCTGGGCTATGCACGCCATAACCGCATTAGATTATAAATACGACGAAAATCATACATGTATTCTAATTGTACACATGGAGCTAATGCGAATTGCGTTGAGGTAGTGCCGCGATGGTACACCTGCCTGCCACCGCGCACAAAGCAGCGCCCTGAATAATGGATGGCGGCGACGCTAAGCAGCCGGACAGTGCTGCGCCGGTCCGGAAATCGATGTGTGTATCGATGTGTGTATCGATGCCCCGGTTACGACCTTGGCGGTGCCCGTCGCCCGCGGGGGAGCGTGGCGCCGTCTCCTGCGCCTGAGGGTGCGGGGCTCTGTGGCCGGACGTCACGGTCCGTGAAGGTCGGGTCGGCGGGCCGCGAAAGTGGCGCCCGTTAGCGGGCATGAGAATTGCACTTGGGTTAGATATGCGCCGTGGTCACTGCTATTGCCGCTTGTTCTGTCATTTATGCTCCAGTGTATCGCCACTGTCAAGGCTGAGCCGTGAAGAGGCATTTAGGCAACGTAGATGTTCCGTCGGACTAAGACATCTAACGCCAGCGAGGAGCTTGTTCGTTCACACGATTTTGCTATTTTGGTGTCCTGGAGGGAAGTCGCGGTCAACCTGTTACAATCAAGGGCACGCGATTCACGGCACGTGCGCTGGCTGAGCGCCTTAAAAATGGGAGCAAGAAAGAAGCATCACCGCGCTTAGACACAAACCCGGACCAGAAATGACAAAACTCCCATGGACCGGTACGACCGCCCCCAGCAACAACTGACGTCACCACCTGGCCACGCCCCCAGGACGGCGGCCGAGGACCACCTGCGGCTGGAGGGCGACTTCGAGGGCCGCTCACTGGCGCATGAGGCGTACCCGGGTCACCAGGGGGCAACGGAGCGGTCTGGCCGGCCGGGCGACAACCTGCAGCTGCGCAGCTCCACTGATGGTGAGTGGCGACATCGGTCGCCGTGACGCGGGCGGTCTCCGACTTCTGTTTCTGTGACGCCGAAGGTCAGTGGCACGCATCAGCGATATTCCGGCCGTCAGTGGTATCGGGTGCTACAAACCCGTGGCGCCAGTGCTGCCGGTTGCCGAGCTTTGTGGTTGGCGAGGCTGGTTACCGTGTGTTCCAGCGGCCTGGTTACCGTGGCCCCTGCCACTTCCAGTGATACGCTGGTATCACTGGGATACTGACGGCCGGTGACAGCTTTAAACATCAGTGGCATCTACCTTTTGTCCTGCCGACGATAAACACGAACGTCTGTCGTACGCAGCTTTGTCGGTCTAGCGACCCGTCGAAGACTGGTCTTCAATGGGCATGCCGTTATTACCGATTCGTTCGGTGCACATGGAGATGTTTGTCGCATGTCATCAAACATTGACTCCATCAACACACTCACTAAGCACCCATATTGTGACGCATTAGACTGATGGCACCAGGTGGCGAGGACTGACTTGATGTCTCACCGGCATTGGAGGGTCCCTCCGTATCCTGAGTTTTTCCTACATACGTTGGATACTTAACGATTGGCCTGTTAGCTCGGGAGATGTTATTGATGTTCAGTTCCATTTTTACTCTTCACAATGGAATTTGCATTAAAGTAGGTTTGGAATATTGAAAGTTGAAATGGGAGCAATGTTGAGCATGACTGTTTTTTTCGTTTATTTTGTTATGTTCATTTCTTGTTTTTCCTCAGTTTCTAGCTTTGAGAGCACGCAGAAGTCTTCGGAGTTCGTATCTCAACAACATATGGAGACAAGTACGTACGCGTAGCATTGTTTTTGTTCCATCGCACGCTTCATAAATGTTGATCAGCTCTGGCAGTACTGTGCGATGTAGTGACGGTCACGTTGGTAGTCGGTACCTACCCCGCTTAATCCAGTCAGCATGGGGTGGGTCACGAAATGTAACAATACATTTCTGCGGGGGTCATCTGGAAGGCATCGAGGCGGAGCCGAGTGCTCAGCGGTCATCGCCTCTCTGAGCTCTGATCGTCGCCCAAATCTGAGAGCACCAGTTCTGAGAGCACAGAGCGAGAGCGGTTGACCCAGATCGGTTGACCCTCAGGAGAGTCGGCCTCACACTCGCAGTACCAGGCGGTGACGAGCGGCGAGAGAGCCGAGCTTGTTCGGCACCAGGACAATCTCCGGATGGAGGGACAGTTCCAAGGTAGGCCCACCCACTCGAGGAGCAGCCCTGCGACCGACGCGGGCACGCTCCTCCTACTCGATCGGATGAACCTGAACCAAGCCCAGTCCTCGTGTGCCCTGTGTCTGCCGCGTCCTGAGCGGCCCCAGTCCTATCCCCGAGCGCGACCCGTGCGTAGAGGCTACACTAGCTTAGAGCCGTCTTAGCCGCTCCTGTACGTTTTCTCTAGATCAGCTCACCAAAGGTCAGGTGAAGGCGCGCTCAGTACGCCGCTGCTAACTAACCCGGCTGGTAGAGTGGCACTAATCGATGCCTACGTTGGTCGCCTGCTCGACCTTGGCTGCGGGCCGGGGTATGCATGCTGGGTAACTCGCCGCTTCCCTAACCCGCTCGCCGGCTGCCGGGTGCGGCTGCCTGACCCGCAATCTCGCTGGCCAGACTACGACACCATAGAGAAGCGCTTCTACGGTCAGGGCGCCGGCGCTGACGACGATGCCGTCTACGTGCCGACGCGCTTCAACTCGGCCGTCGGCGCGCCCCGGAAGCCCGACGGTGGCGTCGCCACCGGCGACTTGCTGCGGCGCGCGACGGCGGGCAGGACGGGCGGCCTGTACGAGGCCGCCCGGCCGCTGCTGGACGACCGGGCCGGGGCGGACGGCACACGGCACGCCGCGCTGCCCGTGCGGCGCGGCGCCCCGGACACCCTGAAGCCCGAGGGCGGCCTGGAGCTGAACTCCAGCACGCGACGGGACTTCCCTCCGCGGGAGGTAGAGCGCGCGCAACGGCCCCACCCCGCCGACCACCTGCGCCAGGAGGGCGAGATGGCCGGCCGCAGTTCGTCGATGAGCGCCTACCCACCGAGGGAGATGACGCGCTCGCCGACCCACCGCCCTGAGGACCACCTGCGCCAGGAGGGCGAGATGGCCGGTCGCAGTTCGTCGATGAGCGCCTACCCACCGAGGGAGATGACACGCTCGCCGACCCACCGCCCTGAGGACCACCTGCGCCAGGAGGGCGAGATGGCCGGCCGCAGTTCGTCGATGAGCGCCTACCCACCGAGGGAGATGACACGCTCGCCGCCCCACCGCCCTGAGGACCACCTGCGCCAGGAGGGCGAGATAGCCGGCCGCAGCGTCACGCGCAGCGCGTTCCAGGCGCCGGCGTCCGAGCGGCCGCAGCTGCGCCAGCTGGACGAGCCTCTGCCGGGCGGCGCTGACGACCCGCGCCGGCTGCGCATCATCCGACCCGAGATCCGGCGCCACCATGACAGCATGAGCGTGCACGGCGAGCTGGAGACGCTGTCGGCCGGCGGCGAGCGACGTCGCCAGGCCGGTGCGGAGGGCGCCGGCGACGGTAAGCGGGTGGCCGGCGGCCGCGTGACGACGTTGTCCGCTTCATCTGCGCCCGGTGCGTGCCCCGGTCACCTCCGCATGCGGCTTGCCTTGCATGAGCTGTGCTTTCGCTTACAATAACGATGTGCACTACAGAACGCTCCTTAGCAGGTGCCCTGCGGCCTCTCCTGCTAGTTGTAGTCTTTTTTAGCCACAGTATGGTTGTCTAAGAACTGACTGAAATCAGTTGAATACATCTTGGATCTTTGCATAATCTAGTGTTCTGCATTATTAACTCAGCGTGTATCGCAACCTAAGTACGTTTACGTCCCCTAAGTCATACTGCAATACGAGCAAACACATTTTGGCATGATTTGCCTCACTGATAACTTGCATTTGATGGCAGTGTTTTCGTTCGCCGACGGCACGCGTATGGGGCCAGTTATTACGAAACGCCGTGCACGTCTGAACGTTGCTGTTTTTACGATTTCTGGTCAAAATTTTGCCCAGGACTGTAACAGCGAGCCTCAAATGCCCTTATTCTGCAATTTTTCTTGTTTTATCGAAACTACAAATCAACGAACAGGCGCGGATGAGGCATTATGACCAGTGTACCATAATAGCACGTACCTTGCTGTGAGCATGTGCAACTGGCCTGGAGGCATTGCATAAAACCAGGAGATGTTATGTCGGACTTGGCCCGTACATAGGTCAAACTATACGCGCAGGGTGGGGGGTATTATCAGCGGGCAAGCGTCATCGGGGCTTGGATGCCTTTTGACCTGGGCAACTGTTCTGACAACAACTGTTCGACAACAAAGGCAGGCAGGCAAAAGGCGGACGGTTTGAAGGTTTATGTCCACTGCTAAGGATATCAGGTTGCTACCCAAACAGGCTGGCTGGCAAAGGCAAAAACAGGCTGGCAAACAGGCTGGTAAAGACTGGATTGGTTGGTCCTGGTGGCGTGGCTGGCAATGCAAGAGTTGCGACATATTGCAGGACAACCGGTGTAAGTCTCTAATGTTTCGCTACGAACGCTGAGCTGTTGTGTGGGCTACGTATCAACTGCTCAACCTTTTGTAATTCTTGGTTATTTTGCATGGCACTGGGTTGTGTTGTTCAGTATGCTGTGATGAGCTGTCTGTGCACTTTTTATTGATGGGCATCACACGTCTGTGTCACCTACAAAAATGTCATAACTTGACTGCGGTGACACTAATAGAGCATTCCACATGAAGCATTCAGCCATGTTAGGAAACAAAAGGCTGCAATGTACAATTCAATATAGCTTGAAATGATCCACGACATGGTCACGTGGGAATGTTGCGGAAAAATTAAACGCAATTCAAACTGTGACAACACGAAGGCTTTCCTTACAGAAGACCAAACTTGAAATTGTGGGCGCAGGGTTCCAGTGTTAAAATGTCAACACCAGGAGCTGGCTTGTTGAAATGTTGCCAGAGTGATGATACGACCTTCAGTAAGAGTATCCACATCGGTGATAAGTGCCGACTGGTGATACCAGACGATGAGCCGGTGTGATGACTTGTGTTACAACTACCGTTGAACTACCAGAGCCTCCAAACCATCCCCGCAAAACGGGGATGGTTTGATAGTTTGATCAGAACACATTACTATGCGTGGGATATCCCAGAGTGCTTTACTCCACTCTCCTCCAAACGCTCTGCAAACTGATGCATCTGCTGCGCATACAGGCCGAGAACGGCCGGGGAAATAGAAAAGGAAACGCTTTGCCGCCGTCCCAGAAGAACACCTTGCGGCGTCAGAGCCGGTTAGTGCCGACGGCGATCCGGCCGGTTCGAACGCCGTGCAGGACCGCCACCTCGCACGTCACCTCCTTGCCCAGGCGCCGCTGACTTCACATCGCCGCCCGCAGACTACCGCAGGGAGGCGGTCACGGTCGGCGAGCGAGCCGACGTCGTCCGCCGGGGCGACAACCTCCGGCTGGAGGGCGACTTCGTGGACACGCGCGAGCGCGGCGCGCCCGGCCGCGGCGACCGCGCGGACGTGGTGCGCCATCCGGACCACCTGCGCCAGGAGGGGGACTTCGCCGGTAGGTGGCGGCGCCATGACGTCGGTTTGGCTTGACGCGCACCGCACCGCCGCGCCGGCCGCCTAGTGGTCGGCGCGGACAGATCTGCTTGCCGGCTTGCTTCTGACTCAGTTGGTCGTCAGGCGGGTGGCTTGCGCGCCTCACAGCGCCCGGTGGGGCTCGCCGCGCCTTGGTTGGTTTCGGTTTGTGAATGCCGCTTGCTCACGCTGCCTGGTCGGCCTTCGGCTGCCCCCCACTGACCGGCAGTCCCGACCCCAGGTCAGTCGGTGACCGGCAGCACGTTCTGCGCCGTGCACGGTCAGCGGACGGTGGCCATGCGCCAGCAAGACCACCTGTATCTGGAGGGACAGCAGATCGTCTGTACGTGACCGCCCCGACATCATGCACCGCGTGCAACAAGCATGCATGTCTTGAAACCTTGTTTCAACGGTTTTGCCAGCTTTCATGGAGGCGTGCCGATTTTGTTTCGCGTTGTTTTGTTTTCTTGAGGACACTCACACACAAACTTTTGGTGCTCCATTTGCTGATATTTGTATCATTTATATGTGCGGCTTAAATTTTTAACCCGCTTTTGTCGGTCATTCCAGAACATTTCCTTTGAAACCTTAAGTATCATCGGCCCGGTCATCATCTAGCCGTCTTTATGGAGTCGGGATTACTGCAGTGTCGTAGGACCATGGGTGGGACCATGGGTCTTCTTCTGCTGATTGGGATGTATCACCCGATCCTGTACGCCTGCAGCGGCCAGCTCTCAGCACGCCGACTACGGCCAGCCGGGGCCGGCGCAGCGACCCGAGCGCGCGCTGCACCCCGACAACCTGCGGCCGGAGGGCGAGTTCGCCGACCGGCCGTCGCGCGCGGCGCCGCGCGGCGAGCGGGCACCTATCGTGCAGCACCCCGACGAGCTGCACCTGACTGGAGACTTCGTGGGTTAGTGCCGCCTGGCTCCTGCCAACCGGTCTTCGGCCGACGATGAACGGCGGGATCCGGGTCCAAATCAAGATCAAGGGGGCGTTGGGCGTAGCTTTTTCGTGAAGGTGATATTTAGGTGGTCGGGCGGGATTTCAGGTGAATTCGGAAACGCGACTGACTCCTAGGGCCTTATTGTGCTGCCGCTAATGGAATATTATCCTTACTTGTTAGCAACGCCCTCGCTTGTATGATATAAAATGCAAAAATCATTACATTCCTGGCCGGTTAGGTATTATTCAATTTGCGTAGGTATTTCCTAGGTGTCTCTTTTGTTGTGGTTTAATTAAGCCCCCGTTGTGGCAACGACAGCGGCTAGCCTGATTCACAGTTTGCTGCTATCAAGAGCCAGCAATCATGTCAATGTTCACTGCCGGCTCCCTTCACTTCGTATTGTACGAATGGAGTGCCTTGTTTGCGTCGTTGCCTCGACACCTGTGTTTGTTGCATCCGCGTCCTTGCATTCCTAACTCCACGACTGCGCGTCCTGGCCCCGTCCTTGGTCATGGCGTCTCTGTTAACTGACGGTTCTCCTATCTGTTTTGCAGACACTCGCGATCGGCAGGGCGTTACCAGAGGAGAGCGGGCCGACATAGTTCGTCGTGAAGACAACCTCCGAATGGACGGAAAGTTCGAAGACACCCGTGAAAGAACCACTGTGGTTCGCGGCGAACGGGCCGACATAGTTCGTCGAGAGGACAATCTCCGAATGGACGGAAAGTTTGAGGACACCCGTGAAAGGACCACCGTGGTTCACGGAGAGAGAGCTGAGGTAGTTCGTCGTGAAGACAACCTCCGAATGGACGGAAAGTTTGAGGACACCCGCGAAAGGACTACCGTAGTTCGCGGAGACAGAGCTGACATAGTTCGTCGTGAAGATAACCTCCGAATGGACGGAAAGTTTGAGGACACCCGTGAAAGGACCACCGTGGTTCGCGGAGAGAGGGCTGAGGTAGTTCGCCGTGAGGACAACCTCCGAATGGACGGAAAGTTTGAGGACACCCGCGAAAGGACCACCGTGGTTCGCGGAGAAAGAGCTGAGGTAGTTCGTCGTGAAGACAACCTCCGAATGGACGGAAAGTTTGAGGACACCCGCGAGAGGACCACCGTGGTTCACGGCGAAAGGGCTGAGGTAGTCCGTCGAGAGGACAACCTTCGAATGGACGGAAAGTTTGAAGACAGGCCTCGTGGAACAGCCCCTAAAGGCGAAAGGGCCCCGATTGTCAAGCATCCTGATCATCTCCGTCCCGAGGGTGATTTCACAGACAGGCCGCGAGAAGGAGCGCCCGCTGGCGAGCGGGCATCAGTGGTTCGGCATCCGGATCAGCTGAGGTTGGAAGGTCCATTTGAAGGACGCCCACGCGGAGAAGCGCCACACGGAGAGCGGGCGCCGAGAGTGGACCATCCAGACCACCTGAGACCGGAAGGGGACTTCACCGGCAGACCGCGAGACGAGGCTCCGAGGGGGGAGCGGGCACCGATAGTCAGATACCCAGACCACCTCAAGATGGAGGGTGACTTCACCGACGACAGGGAGGATTACGTTCCAGGGAGAGGTCAGAGAGCGCCGATCGTCCAGCATCCGGACCATCTGCGAATGGAAGGAGAGTTCACTGACGGTCGTGACCGGCACTCGCCTGGCAGGGGGCAACGCGCACCCATTGTAAAGCACCCGGACCATTTGAAGATGGAGGGCGAGTTCACTGATGGCCGGGACAGACACAAGCCGGGGCCAGGACAGCGTGCGCCCATTGTAAAGCACCCGGATCACCTGAAGATGGAGGGCGACTTCTACGCCCCTCCTGACGAGCAGGTGCCGAAGGGAGTGCGCGCACCTGTCGTCAAACATCCTGACCATCTGAAGATGGAGGGCGACTTTTACGCCCCTCCTGACGAAGAGGTGCCGAAGGGAGTGCGAGCACCTGTCGTCAAACATCCTGACCATCTGAAGATGGAAGGAGACTTTGTTGACGGCAGAGATCGCCACACTCCCGGGCCGGGACAGCGAGCGGACATTGTGAAACATCCAGACCACTTGCGGCCCCAGGGCGAGTTCACGAAAAAGCCACATGAGGAGGCCCCGCATGGCGAACGGGCCCCCGTGGTCAGGCGGCCAGACAACCTGCGCCCCGAAGGTGAGTTCACCGGAAAACCGCGTGAGGAAGCCCCAAGAGGTGAACGCGCCGCGGTTGTTAAGCATGCTGACAATCTAAAGATGGACGGCAGGTTCATTGATGAGCGTGATAAGACCGTCATCATGCGAGGTGAGCGCTCTGAGATTGTCCGACGCGAAGACAACCTAAGAATGGAGGGGAAGTTTGAGGACACCAGAGAAATGACTTCAGTCACTCGTGGGGAAAGGGCGGAGATCGTGCGCCGGGAGGACAACCTTCGCATGGAGGGGCAGTTTGAGGACAGACCCAAAGGTCAGGCGCCTCGCGGTGAGCGAGCACCCAGAGTCCAGCACCCGGATAACCTGCGTCCGGAAGGTGAATTCACTGGAAAGCCGCGAGAGGACGCTCCAAGGGGCGAGCGAGCACCTGTTGTACGACGAGGAGACAACCTGACGATGGAGGGGGAGTTCGTTGATACCCGGGAGAAAACTATGGTGACGCGAGGCGAGAGAGCGGACATTGTACGTCGAGAGGACAACCTTAGGACTGAGGGTCGTTTTGAGGACACCAGAGAAGTAACAATGGTCACACGCGGCGAGCGTGCAGACATCGTGCGCAGAGAGGACAACCTTCGTATGGAAGGTACCTTTGAGGATCGTCCTCGTGGCGAAGCACCCAGGGGAGAAAAAGTGAGACCAATACGGCACGGGGACAATCTGCGACCCGAGGGAGACTTTACAGGAAGACCGCATGAAGAAGCCCCGCGTGGTGAACGTGCCCCACGGGTAGCACATCCGGATCACCTTACCATGGAGGGTGACTTCGTGGACACCCGTGATAGGCACACTCCTGGACGCGGTGAGAGAGCACCCGTGGTCAGGCGACCAGACAATTTGCGCCCGGAGGGAGAGTTCTCCGGTAAGCCAGTGGAGGAAGCACCCAGAGGTGAGCGTGCCCCTGTCGTTAGAAGACCTGACAATCTCAAACCTGAAGGTGACTTTGAGGGTCGTCCTCGAGGGGAAGCTCCCAGGGGAGAGAAAGCGACCCCTTACAAATACAGAGACAACCTAAAGCCGGAGGGAGATTTCACTGGCAAACCAACTGAAGAAGCACCAAGGGGAGAAAGGGCTCCTGTTGTGAAACACCCGGACCATCTGAAGATGGAAGGAAAGTTTGATGATCGCCCTCGAGAAGAGGCGCCACGTGGTGAGAAGGCAACACCTTACAAATACCGGGATAACCTCAGACCGGAGGGAGATTTCACCGGAAAGCCGGTTGAAGAGGCACCACGAGGGGAGCGTGCTCCTGTCGTAAAGAGACCTGATAACCTCAGACCCGAAGGCGATTTCGAAGGTCGTCCTCGTGAAGAGGCACCTCGCGGTGAAAAGGCTACGCCCTACAAGTACAGAGATAACCTGAAACCTGAAGGTGAATTCACTGGGAAACCGACCGAAGAGGCGCCTAAAGGTGAAAGAGCTCCCGTTGTTCGGCGAGCTGACAATCTCACCATGGAAGGTGAGTTTGTGGACACCAGAGAGAGAACAACGGTGCATCGTGGCGAGAGAGCAGATATTGTTCGTCGGGAGGACAATCTTAGGACTGAGGGCCGTTTTGAGGACACCAGAGAGCTGACCACCGTGACTCGAGGTGAGCGTGCGGATATCGTGCGGAGAGAAGACAACCTCCGCATGGAAGGCACGTTCGAAGATCGGCCTCGTGGTGAGGCACCGAAGGGGGAGAAAGTTCGTCCCATTCGCCATGGAGACAACCTTCGTCCGGAGGGAGATTTCACGGACAGGCCACGGGACGAGGCCCCACGAGGAGAACGGGCGCCGGTGGTGAAGCACCCGGATCATCTCACCATGGAAGGAGACTTCGTTGGTGAGTTGCTGCATGTTCGCTCTTGGCATGGTCATGTATTTGATGACATATGAACTGTATTTGTAGCAAGTGTACACCAAAAGTCGCTGGCCGGCTGATCATTTCCCGTGCCACAACGGCAGATATATGTAAACTTAGCAAGGCTCCTTAGTAAGCACGAGAGGTGCTCTCCCTCACCATATTTTGATTAGCATTAATGGTACTCATGCACGAAAGATGCTCCCGACTACCTACCCTGAAAAGAAAGAAACAGAATGTACAGCTGTGAAACATACTGGTAATCGCGTTAAGAACGCGGATATTCATAAATACGGTAAAGTGTGCTTAAAATTCGTCTGACTGGAGTAGTGCGTATCCAGGAGCTGTCCATGACACAATGGAGACCTTTTCCGGGGTATGCCTTCAGCACTCTGGACAACCCCTTTATGGTTTTCCTTCTCGAGGCGATGCTGATTTATGTTGGCGATAACCGCGTAGAAGGCAACCACTCGAGCCGAATGACGTACGACACGCCATTCCAGACACGAGGGAGCACCGCAGCCCAGGCAAAGGCGAGCGTGCTCCAGTTGTGCGACGTCCCGACAACCTCCGACCGGAGGGTGACTTCACGGACCGACCGCATGACAAGGCCCCGACCGGAGAGCGGGCCCCGGTGGTCAGAAGGCCCGACAACCTCGTCATGGAGGGCGAGTTTGTCGGTAAGTGTCACGCCTGTTGTTGCTAGGTGCTCGGTCAGGGGGAGAGTTCGCTAGCGGCGTGTAAAGCCGTGTCTCTACACAACTGGTAATGGTCCTTGCTGCTAGAAACCCGATACGAAATGGAAGAGGATTTTATCCGGATCTCTGCCTCTAATCCTGTTTTCTGGCTGGGCTATGACTATGTATCATCTTACTTCTTCCCGCGCTTTTCTCAGGTGTGCTTTCTCTTCAAGTTAACGTTTCATGATTGCACTTATCCTTCCGCTTGATCTTACTTTTAGGATAGCCGTAACAAGCTTTGCGCCTTCTTGATTACAGACACTCGCGAAACCGTAACCCCCGTTCGCGGCGAGCGAGCTCCCGTCGTCCGGCGTCCAGACAACCTCCGTCCGGAAGGAGAGTTCACGCCGAAACGCCAGGAGGATGCGCCCAAAGGAGAGAGAGCTCCTGTCGTCAGACGACCTGACAACCTCAGACCGGAGGGTGACTTTGAAGACCGGCCTCGCGGAGAAGCTCCCAGAGGCGAGAAAGCGACTCCGTATAAGTACAGGGACAATCTGAAGCCAGAAGGAGATTTCACTGGTAAACCAACAGAGGAGGCCCCTAGGGGCGAGCGGGCCCCTGTTGTCAAGAGACCTGATAATCTTAGACCTGAGGGTGAGTTTGAGGGCCGTCCTCGTGAAGAAGCCCCCAGGGGTGAGAAAGCGACTCCCTACAAGTACAGGGACAATCTGAAGCCAGAAGGAGACTTCATTGGTAAACCAACAGAGGAGGCCCCCAGGGGCGAGCGGGCCCCTGTTGTTAAGAGACCTGATAATCTCAGACCTGAGGGTGAATTTGAAGGCCGTCCTCGTGAAGAAGCTCCCAGGGGTGAGAAAGCGACTCCCTACAAATACAGGGACAATCTGAAGCCAGAAGGAGATTTCACTGGTAAACCAACAGAGGAGGCCCCTAGGGGCGAGCGAGCCCCTGTTGTTAAGAGACCTGATAATCTCAGACCTGAGGGTGAGTTTGAAGGCCGTCCTCGTGAAGAAGCCCCCAGGGGTGAGAAAGCGACTCCTTACAAGTACAGGGACAATCTGAAGCCAGAAGGAGATTTCACTGGTAAACCAACAGAGGAGGCCCCTAGGGGTGAGCGGGCCCCTGTTGTTAAGAGGCCTGATAATCTCAGACCTGAGGGTGAGTTTGAAGGTCGTCCTCGTGAAGAAGCACCCAGAGGCGAGAAAGCGACTCCTTACAAGTACAGGGACAATCTGAAGCCAGAAGGAGAGTTTACTGGAAAACCAACAGAGGAAGCACCTAGGGGTGAGCGGGCCCCTGTTGTTAAGAGACCTGATAATCTCAGACCTGAGGGTGAGTTCGAAGGTCGTCCTCGGGAAGAGGCGCCTAGAGGCGAAAAGGCGACTCCCTACAAGTACAGGGACAATCTGAAGCCTGAAGGAGATTTCACTGGCAAACCAACCGAAGAAGCACCAAGGGGAGAAAGGGCTCCTGTTGTGAAACATCCTGATCATCTGAAGATGGAAGGTAAGTTTGATGATCGTCCTCGAGAAGAGGCGCCACGTGGTGAGAAGGCAACACCTTACAAGTACCGGGATAACCTCAGACCGGAGGGAGATTTCACCGGAAAGCCGGTTGAAGAGGCACCACGAGGGGAGCGTGCTCCTGTCGTAAAGAGACCTGATAACCTCAGACCCGAAGGCGATTTCGAAGGTCGTCCTCGTGAAGAGGCACCTCGCGGTGAAAAGGCTACGCCCTACAAGTACAGAGATAACCTGAAACCTGAAGGTGAATTCACTGGGAAACCGACCGAAGAGGCGCCTAAAGGTGAAAGAGCTCCCGTTGTTCGGCGAGCTGACAATCTCACCATGGAAGGTGAGTTTGTAGACACCAGAGAGAGAACAACAGTACATCGCGGCGAGAGAGCGGACATTGTTCGTCGGGAGGACAACCTTAGGACTGAGGGCCGTTTTGAGGACACCAGAGAGCTGACCACCGTGACTCGAGGTGAGCGTGCGGATATCGTGCGGAGAGAAGACAACCTCCGCATGGAAGGCACGTTCGAAGATCGGCCTCGTGGTGAGGCACCGAAGGGGGAGAAAGTTCGTCCCATTCGCCATGGAGACAACCTTCGTCCGGAGGGAGATTTCACGGACAGGCCACGCGGCGAGGCCCCACGAGGAGAACGGGCGCCGGTGGTGAAGCACCCGGATCATCTCACCATGGAAGGAGACTTCGTTGGTGAGTTTAACAAATTCCCTATGAAAGTTGACCCGTTGTATTGCATTTCCCTTGCTGGTCCCTTTGGGTTTTACATATGGAACACCTTTTCTAGCATATTAATCGATGTGACTATTTCATTCTTGGCACTTGTTCCTGGTGGCTTGTCTTCACAAAGGGCAGAAAACCGAAATTGCCAGCATTTTTTGGCGAGCCGTTCGTCATAACCTGTCAGACATCATGCATTCCCATCACTGATTCTGAGCTCAGTGCTGCCAGCAACCTTCGCTTGCTGTTGGATATACGCGCACAACTGGCGCTTTGCCAAATGTGTCGCCAGCTTAACCTGTGGTCAGAACAGCGAAGTGGAAACTCGGAAATGAGAGACATGTTATTCGGAACCATGACTTTAGGATGTCAGCAACGTGACAAGACAAGCGTGACTTGCGTATCAGTAGCTTTTATAGAAAAGCGTGAAGGACTGCACATCTTTGCAGCACATGCATAAAGCGTGACATGAACATACATATCCCAAGTGTGACAGCTACTGCTGTTCCAGACACGAGGGAGCATCGCACCCCAGGCAAAGGCGAGCGTGCTCCAGTTGTGCGGCGTCCCGACAACCTCCGACCGGAGGGTGACTTCACGGACCGACCGCATGACAAGGCCCCGACAGGAGAGCGGGCTCCGGTCGTCAGGAGGCCCGACAACCTCGTCATGGAGGGCGAATTTGTTGGTAAGCACTTGTGCCACTGAAAACTGAATTGGTGGTGCTCGGAGCATGCTGCTACTAAGCTGATACTTAATAACGAAACTTCCATTCTGATCTTAGATTTTCGTGTCGTCATGTTTTTTATCGGCGGGTGGACTGAGGCTTTTACAACTAATTTCTGTAGTCTTCTCAACTAACGTCTTCTATTCAATCTCCTATTCCTTCGTCTTAACCAATTTCTGGTTTGCATGGTTGCAGATACTCGCGAAACTGTAACACCCGTGCGCGGCGAGAGAGCGCCAGTTGTTCGGCGACCCGACAACCTCCGTCCGGAAGGAGAGTTCACACCAAAACGCCAGGAGGACGCGCCCAAAGGAGAGAGAGCTCCTGTCGTCAGACGACCTGACAACCTCAGACCGGAGGGTGACTTTGAAGACCGGCCTCGCGGAGAAGCTCCCAGAGGCGAGAAAGCGACTCCGTATAAGTACAGGGACAATTTGAAGCCAGAAGGAGAGTTTACTGGTAAACCAACAGAGGAAGCACCTAGGGGTGAGCGGGCCCCTGTTGTAAAGAGGCCTGATAATCTCAGACCTGAGGGTGAGTTTGAGGGCCGTCCTCGTGAAGAAGCTCCCAGAGGCGAGAAAGCGACTCCCTATAAATACAGGGACAATCTGAAGCCAGAAGGAGAGTTTACTGGTAAACCAACAGAGGAAGCACCTAGGGGTGAGCGGGCCCCTGTTGTGAAAAGGCCTGATAATCTCAGACCTGAGGGTGAGTTTGAAGACCGTCCTCGTGAAGAAGCTCCCAGAGGCGAGAAAGCGACTCCCTACAAGTACAGGGACAACCTGAAGCCAGAAGGAGAGTTTACTGGAAAACCAACAGAGGAGGCGCCTAGGGGTGAGCGGGCGCCTGTTGTTAAGAGACCTGATAATCTCAGACCTGAGGGTGAGTTTGAGGGCCGTCCCCGCGAAGAAGCCCCCAGAGGCGAGAAAGCGACTCCCTACAAGTACAGGGACAATCTGAAGCCAGAAGGAGATTTCACTGGTAAACCAACGGAAGAAGCACCTAGGGGTGAGCGGGCCCCTGTTGTGAAGAGGCCCGACAACCTCAGACCAGAGGGTGAGTTTGAGGGCCGTCCCCGCGAAGAAGCTCCCAGAGGCGAGAAAGCGACTCCCTACAAGTACAGGGACAATCTGAAGCCAGAAGGAGATTTCACTGGTAAACCAACAGAAGAAGCACCTAGGGGTGAGCGGGCCCCTGTTGTGAAGAGGCCCGACAACCTCAGACCAGAGGGTGAGTTTGAAGGGCGTCCTCGAGAAGAGGCACCAAGAGGCGAAAAGGCGACTCCGTATAAGTACAGGGACAATTTGAAGCCAGAAGGAGAGTTTACTGGTAAACCAACAGAGGAAGCACCTAGGGGTGAGCGGGCCCCTGTTGTAAAGAGGCCTGATAATCTCAGACCTGAGGGTGAGTTTGAGGGCCGTCCTCGTGAAGAAGCTCCCAGAGGCGAGAAAGCGACTCCCTATAAATACAGGGACAATCTGAAGCCAGAAGGAGAGTTTACTGGTAAACCAACAGAGGAAGCACCTAGGGGTGAGCGGGCCCCTGTTGTGAAAAGGCCTGATAATCTCAGACCTGAGGGTGAGTTTGAAGACCGTCCTCGTGAAGAAGCTCCCAGAGGCGAGAAAGCGACTCCCTACAAGTACAGGGACAACCTGAAGCCAGAAGGAGAGTTTACTGGAAAACCAACAGAGGAGGCGCCTAGGGGTGAGCGGGCGCCTGTTGTTAAGAGACCTGATAATCTCAGACCTGAGGGTGAGTTTGAGGGCCGTCCCCGCGAAGAAGCCCCCAGAGGCGAGAAAGCGACTCCCTACAAGTACAGGGACAATCTGAAGCCAGAAGGAGATTTCACAGGTAAACCAACGGAAGAAGCACCTAGGGGTGAGCGGGCCCCTGTTGTGAAGAGGCCCGACAACCTCAGACCAGAGGGTGAGTTTGAAGGGCGTCCTCGAGAAGAGGCACCAAGAGGCGAAAGGGCGACTCCCTACAAGTACAGGGACAATCTGAAGCCAGAAGGAGATTTCACTGGTAAACCAACCGAAGAAGCACCTAGGGGTGAGCGGGCCCCTGTTGTGAAGAGGCCCGACAACCTCAGACCAGAGGGTGAGTTTGAAGGGCGTCCTCGAGAAGAGGCACCAAGAGGCGAAAAGGCGACTCCTTACAAATATCGGGACAACCTCAAGCCGGAAGGGGAATTCACTGGAAAACCAACCGAAGAAGCTCCTAAAGGTGAAAGAGCTCCCGTTGTCAAACACGCTGACAACCTTCGCATGGAAGGCGACTTCGAGGGACGTCCTCGCGATGAGGTGCCGAGGGGAGAAAAAGCTCGGCCGATTCGCCGTGGGGATAACCTCCGACCGGAGGGCGACTTCGCGGATAGGCCACGTGACGAGGCCCCACGGGGAGAACGGGCGCCCGTGGTGAAGCACCCGGACCACCTCACTATTGAAGGGGACTTTGTGGGTAAGCGCCATGTTGTTTTTTCCATGGCTGTCAGCATATGCAATCCTGTTTTATGCTGACGCGTTCGGACTACAGTTCACTTGAGCTTATTCAGAACGCTAAGTCTCGTTCTGCATGATTGTTCTTTTGGCTGTGCTCGAAGTCAGTTACCGACTTTTAAGGCTGATCTATAATATTTTCAGACATGTTGACAACCATTAGGGCTGCAAAACATGATTGGAGATATTGAACAGTTGGGCTGAGAAATAACGTGTTATTGACCGAGCTGTGCAACTTTAACGCTACTGTTTTTGTTTGGTTTTCATATTTACACGACTGATTAGCTCCAGCCATTCACAAATGGCTGTACCTAAGCATCATATGGCAGCAGCGTAATCCTTGGCCTGCGGGTGGCCTGAGAGGCAACCTAAGCTTTCTCATTGATAGCTCCTGAACAGTTACGAGCATGACACTGAAATTTACTCAGCATTGGTAACACCATTTTTACAGATGTAAAAATAGTATGCTTCTGCCCATTGTGGTTAATGGCCGTTCGCCTCGCTCAAGGTCATCTCAGTAGGCTGTAAATCTCAGTAGGCTCAGTAGGCTGTAATTGTAGGCTGTAAACAGTAACATTAGGTTAGTTGCATTAGGTTGTACACATTAGAACATGATGGCACGCATCTTTTTGTTTGAAAAGCTGTTTCAACGATATTTTCCAGTTGGTGCTGTACGCTTAGCTGCTCATATTACTGAACTTGTCAATTTAACAGAAGTCTGTTCTTAGTGGAATCTAATGACGCGTTCAACATCTGAGGCCGTTTAATTTCAAAATTTCTCCCGTCGATTCCCATGGGGCGTGGGCGGCGAAAATGTTGATGGGGACTAAGGCGCTGGCCCCGCACCGGACGGCTGTGAAGGGAACGCAGTCTCAACCGAGTGAGTTCGTCCCCGCAAAAAACTTTTTTCGTGTAACATGTAAAGATAATAGGTGACAACTGGCGATGATCTATAGTGGCCATCTGGTAGTGCTTTGCGATAGTTATTCATCGGCGTGTTCTGCATCGCTTTAGCATGGTTAGCCCTCGAGATAACAGAAGCGTCTATTAAGCGCTCATTTGACGGGTATGACTTGATTTTCCTTATGAAATTCACAATAACCATTGTTCAGCTTCTCCTCTATATGTTTCAACAACAGAACTTCAGACATATGAACACCCTTTCGTAGGGCAAGGACAAACATATTGATTATGGTTATGTTCAGAAGTATTCGAGAGAACGTCTACGATTTTGAATTATAATGGGCTCGGTAAAACGGCTGCGCTTTCAACGCTGCTCTCTAGTGCTCGCTTGTTTTGTGGTACGTTGTTGGGACATCAGGGCTTGCGGGACTCAACCATAGTCGGTGAGACATGGCGAAAAGTTGTCTGTGTGTATTTGTTAACAAAAAAGGCTTAAGCTGTGTTAACACCGTGTAACGTACCTTTCGATGCCGGCTGAAAGCAATGCCAGTTGAATGATTAACTCATTTGTTCCATTGTTGTTGCACCTCCCTTTTTATTTCACAATATATTTTTTGTTAAACTGGATAGCTTCATGCGCAATCAAATCTTAGGAGGCATTCTGATTCGTGAGTAATCGTAATTTAGCCACGACAACTAATTATGCATTGAGTAATTTCAGGATCAGTGTAAGACTACGTGCTGTTGTCTAGTGCGACAACGCTCGCACGATAACAACATAATAGCACGCGTTCTTTTAGATACCAGAGAACACCGCACCCCGGGCAAAGGCGAGCGTGCTCCAGTTGTGCGACGTCCCGACAACCTCCGACCGGAAGGTGACTTCACGGACCGACCGCATGACAAGGCCCCGACAGGAGAGCGGGCTCCGGTCGTCAGGAGGCCCGACAACCTCGTCATGGAGGGCGAGTTTATTGGTAAGCATCCTGATCTTTTCAAAACAAAACCAAGTGTGCTACTGTATGCCTTCCCGCATACTGTACCAGGTCCTTATTTTTGTAATCTCTAACCACTCCGTCAAGAACTATGTATGTTCTTACCATTCTACACTCCTCGATTTCCATTAACTTCCGGGTACTTGTGAACTGCACGTGTTAGTGTTACCTTTTTTACTCCTGCGCTTATATGCTCCTATTTCTGCCACTGCAGATACTCGCGAAACCGTAACCCCCGTTCGCGGCGAGCGAGCTCCCGTCGTCCGGCGTCCAGACAACCTCCGTCCGGAAGGAGAGTTCACGCCGAAACTTCAGGAGGATGCGCCCAAAGGAGAGAGAGCTCCTGTCGTCAAAAGACCCGATAACCTCAGACCTGAGGGCGACTTTGAAGACCGGCCTCGTGAAGAAGCCCCCAGGGGTGAGAAAGCGACTCCTTACAAGTACAGGGACAATCTGAAGCCAGAAGGAGATTTCACAGGTAAACCAACAGAGGAAGCGCCAAGGGGTGAGCGGGCCCCTGTTGTGAAGAGACCTGATAATCTCCGGCCTGAGGGTGAGTTTGAAGGCCGTCCTCGTGAAGAAGCCCCCAGGGGCGAGAAAGCGACTCCCTACAAGTACAGGGACAATCTGAAGCCAGAAGGAGATTTCACTGGTAAACCAACAGAGGAAGCGCCAAGGGGTGAGCGGGCCCCTGTTGTGAAGAGACCTGATAATCTCAGACCTGAGGGTGAGTTTGAAGGCCGTCCTCGTGAAGAAGCCCCCAGGGGTGAGAAAGCAACTCCTTACAAGTACAGAGACAATCTGAAGCCAGAAGGAGAGTTCACTGGCAAACCAACAGAGGAAGCACCAAGGGGTGAAAGAGCTCCTGTTGTGAAGAGACCTGATAATCTCAGACCTGAGGGTGAGTTTGAAGGCCGTCCTCGTGAAGAAGCTCCCAGAGGCGAAAAAGCTACTCCCTACAAGTACAGGGACAATCTGAAGCCAGAGGGAGATTTCACTGGTAAACCAACAGAAGAAGCACCTAGGGGTGAGCGGGCCCCTGTCGTGAAGAGACCTGATAATCTCAGACCTGAGGGTGAGTTTGAAGGCCGTCCTCGTGAAGAGGCCCCCAGGGGTGAGAAAGCGACTCCTTACAAGTACAGGGACAATCTGAAGCCAGAAGGAGAGTTCACTGGCAAACCAACAGAGGAAGCACCAAGGGGTGAGCGGGCCCCTGTTGTTAAGAGACCTGATAATCTCAGACCTGAGGGTGAGTTTGAAGGTCGTCCTCGGGAAGAGGCACCTAGAGGTGAAAAGGCGACTCCCTACAAGTACAGGGACAATCTGAAGCCTGAAGGAGATTTCACTGGCAAACCAACTGAAGAAGCACCAAGGGGAGAAAGGGCTCCTGTTGTGAAACACCCGGACCATCTGAAGATGGAAGGAAAGTTTGATGATCGCCCTCGAGAAGAGGCGCCACGTGGTGAGAAGGCAACACCTTACAAATACCGGGATAACCTCAGACCGGAGGGAGATTTCACCGGAAAGCCGGTTGAAGAGGCACCACGAGGGGAGCGTGCTCCTGTCGTAAAGAGACCTGATAACCTCAGACCCGAAGGCGATTTCGAAGGTCGTCCTCGTGAAGAGGCACCTCGCGGTGAAAAGGCTACGCCCTACAAGTACAGAGATAACCTGAAACCTGAAGGTGAATTCACTGGGAAACCGACCGAAGAGGCGCCTAAAGGTGAAAGAGCTCCCGTTGTTCGGCGAGCTGACAATCTCACCATGGAAGGTGAGTTTGTGGACACCAGAGAGAGAACAACGGTGCATCGTGGCGAGAGAGCAGATATTGTTCGTCGGGAGGACAATCTTAGGACTGAGGGCCGTTTTGAGGACACCAGAGAGCTGACCACCGTGACTCGAGGTGAGCGTGCGGATATCGTGCGGAGAGAAGACAACCTCCGCATGGAAGGCACGTTCGAAGATCGGCCTCGTGGTGAGGCACCGAAGGGGGAGAAAGTTCGTCCCATTCGCCATGGAGACAACCTTCGTCCGGAGGGAGATTTCACGGACAGGCCACGGGACGAGGCCCCACGAGGAGAACGGGCGCCGGTGGTGAAACACCCGGATCATCTCACCATGGAAGGAGACTTCGTTGGTAAGCCCGGCCTGTCGATGATAAGACTCAGCCTCTCACTTTTGGTGTCGGTTCCGATGTCTTTTGATCTTTTATCTTTTCCGTTTGCTCTAAGCTGATGTAATATGCAACATTTTTCGTTGCGTGTTTAACTGCTATGACATAAGGGAAACGTCAAGTAAACCACTGGCGTATAATGATTCAGATCTTGATGGGGTTAAAGCCCGTCCACGTATTCAACAGCCCTGTTTTACTCATGAATGATTTTATGTGTTGATCTTGTTGTAATGTGATGTAAGCTCCTGTGGTTCTTGTCGACATTCCTGCTTTTGTTGGCTTTCACATGGCCAGCTGAATTAAGTACTCAAAGTTATTCAGTCTGGAGGTAATTTGCCATTAGTTTGTGTGAGTTTATAATGCAATTTAAGATCAAAATTGCGTGCAAAAATTCAGGCTTGCATTGATATTGTTTTAAAGAAAATATTCAAAGGTTCTGTGCTTACGCCAGCTTGGAATACAGAATGCGAGTACCTGTCTGGTGTTCTGTGTGCCTCCGGGCATCGACAAATGTTGGCTCGTTTTTTATACAGCAGTCATTCACGTCTTGGCTCCAGTATGGATATTACGTAACAAACAATACCTTTTAACCCCATCGTTTCAAATTAATCTATAATTTGTGGTGGTAATTAAGAGAATGACATCAACATTTCCGGAAGACGGTGAGCGTCACGAAATTCATGGCGTGATCGAAAATAAGGTTTCAGAGAAAGTATATCATCTGTTTAGATTTGTGTTTTCTGAGTGGCTTAATTGTTACTTTGCTCCTTACATCGTACGCTCTAGGCAAATGTTGGAAGCATGACTACTCAAAAAGGCGAAAAAATTGAACTATGTCGCCAGACATCAATCTGTATTATCCCAAGACTGCTGTCTCCTATTATTAGACTGCTCGGGACTATGGCTACAAGTAGGATCGGTCTTGCCATGAAATGCCTTGTGATGCTATATCGTTAATTCTCTCTCTCTCTCTCTCTCT